AAACTCTTACCATTTTAATTACGATGTATCATGGTTTGGATCTCTTTGGGCTCATCTTATATGGAACTCTGGGCTTCCTGGACCTGGATGTTCAGTTCCTTCCCCAGATTAGGGAAGTTTTCAGCTACTGTTCAAATAATTTTTCTTGCCCTTTGTCTCTCTCTTCTTTTGAGAGCCCTACAATGTGAATGTTATCCCCCTTGATTTGTCTTTAGGGTCCCTTAAGGTATATCTTCACTTTTCTTAATTTTTTCCTTTTTTTAAAAAACCACATTTGTAAAGGTGCTGTGTCAACTGGGAAAAGTGTTAATTATTACAAGATATTTTGGAAGTAGCCAGATAAAGTGCCAGAACATAGAGACATATCTGCTAATTTTTTTTCCTGAATTCACATTCTCAGAACTATTTCTAAAATTAGAATTCCAATTAATTTCTTATCTTCTCTCTTTTCAAAAGACTGTTTGTTTTCGGGTTATATCCTTCCTAATTTTTTGTTTCTTGGAAGAAGTGATGTGGGGGTGCCTGCGTGGCTCAGTCGGTTAAGCATCTGACTCTTGATTTAGGCCCAGGTCATGATCTCAGGGTCATGGGATCGAGCCCTGTGTTGGGCTCCACACTCAGCAGGGAGTCTGCGTGTGATTCTCTGTCTCCCTCTCCATCTGCCTCTCCTTCCCTGTCTCCCCCTCTTTCTCTCTCAAGGTAAATAAATCTTTTTAAAAAATTGATTATGGTAGTATTTGGTATTTAGTTAAAAACAGGCACTTGACAAACAAGTATATCAACTCCCTACCCTTTTAAAATTGTGGATATTTTCTTAGCCCTTGAGATTAAGTTGTCTGGGAACCAATGCACTGTTAATTCCCTGATTCAACTTGGAGTTTGGGGAATTTTTTTCCCCTTCTACTGTCTACTCCCATTACCAAGTCCCACCAGTTCTGTATCTGAGTGATACTCAGCTACAATTCTTTCTTTCCTGTGTTCTCAGGTCTCATAATGTGCAGGCCATTATCACACCACACTTAACTGCTGGAGCTCCTTTGCTATTCTTCCTGCCCTTGATTCCTATGTGCCTCAAACCTTCCACAGCTTCATAACATTCATCAGTTACATCACCTTTTTTCTTTTAATTTTTACTATTGAAGTATAGTTGATATACAGTGTCTTATTAATTTCAGGTACATAACATAGTTATTCGATAATTCTGTATATTATGCAGTGTTTACCTCAGTGAGTCCGGTTACCATCTGTCACCATACAACTTTTTTTTTTTTTTTTTTTTTTGGCCAACTAGGGAGATGCCTTTGGGCTTCAGTTTCTTTCTTTTAATGTGTAAAGTAGCTTTATTTAAGTATTATTAACATATAGTATTATGTTAATTTCAAGTGTACAATATGATGTTTCAACAATTCTGTTCATTCATTCTTACCATTTTAATTATGATGTATCATGGTGTGGATCTCTTTGGGTTCATCTTACATGAAACTCTGGGCTTCCTGGACCTGGATGTTCAGTTCCTTCCCCAGATTAGGGAAGTTTTTCAGCTATTCTGAAATCATAATTATACTCTCAATCCCCTTCACTTGTTATACTCATTCCCCTACTGCCTCCCCTCTGGCAGCCACCCGTTCTGTATAGTTAAGAGTCTGTTTTTTTATTTTTGTCTCTTTTTTTCTTTGTTTGTTTTGTTTCTTAAATTCCATGTATGAGTAAAATCATGGTATTTGTCTTTCTCTGACTGACTTATTTTGCTTAGCATGATACTCTCTGGATCCATCAGTGTTGTTGCAAATGGCAAGATGTCATTCTTTTTTATGGCTGGGTAATATTCCACTATGTATATATAACATATCTTCTGTATCCATTCATCAGTCATGGATACTTAGGTTGCTTCCATATCTTGGCTATTATAAATAGTGCTGCAATAAACACAGAGGGTGTATATATGTTCTCCAATTAGTGTTTTTGTATTCTTTGGGTAAATACCCAGCAGTGGAATTACTGGATCGTATGGTAGTTCTTTTTTTAACTTTTTGAGGAACCTCCATACTATGTTCCACAGTGGCTGCACCAACAGCTAGCATTCACACCAACAGTGTACAAGGGTTCTTTTTTCTCGACATCCTTGTCAACACTTGTTATTTTTTATCCTTTTGATTGTAGCCATTCTGACAGGTGTGAGGTGATATCTCACAGGTTTTGATTTGCATGTCCCTGATGATTAGTGATGTTGAACATCTTTTTATGTGTCTGTTGGCCATCTGTATGTCTTCTCTGGAAAAATGTCTATTCCTGTCCTCTGCCCATTTTTTAATTGGATTATTTGGTTTTTTGGTGTTAAGATGTATAAGGTCTTTATATCTTTTGGGTATTAACCCCTTATTGGATACATCATTTGCAAATATCTTCTTCTGTTCAGTGGGTTGGTTTTTTGTTTTGTTGATGGTTTCCTTTGCTGGGCAAAAGTTTTTTATTTTGGTGTATTGCCAATAGTTTTAATTTTGGTTTTGTTTCCCCTGCCAAAGAAGACACGTCTAGAAAAATGCTTCTGCCACAGATGTCAAAGAGATTACTGCCTGTGTTTTCTTCTAGTTTTATGGCTTCAGGTCTCACATTTAGGTCTTTAACCCATTTTGAGTTTAATTTTGTATATGGTGTAAGAAAGTGGTCTGGTTTCGTTGTTTGTGTGTAGCTGTCCAGTTTTCCCAGCACCATCTTTGAAGAGACCTTTTCCCATTGTGTCTTCCTGCTTTGTCATCAATCGCACCGTACCACGTGATTACGGTGTCACTGACGGTACTCCCTGTGCTGTCCTTTTCACCCTCATGACTTGATTTATTTTATAACTGGACGTTTGACCTTCTTCATCCCCTTTATCTGTTTCATTCATCTTAATTTTTTATTTTTATTTTGTGGTTCTGTCTGGGCAAGTTCCATTGCTTTCTCTTCCAGCTTGCTGATGCATTCTTCTACTTCATCCAGTCGGCTGTGAACCCTTCCAGTGTATTTTTCAAATTTCTGTTCAATACTTTCTTATATTTTCTATATCTTTGCTTAAGTTCTCATTGTGTTCAACCAGTTTTCTCCTGAGTTCACTGAGCATCTGTATGATAATTTCTTTGAACTTTTTATCAGGTTGGTTGCTCATCTGTGTTTCATTTAGTTCTTTTTCTGAGATTTTGTCATGTTCATTTCTTTGGAACATATTACTCTGCCTCCTCATTTTGCCTAATTCTTTGTGTTTGTTTCTATGTATGAGGTCAGTCAGCCATCTCTCCCAGTCTTGAATGAGCGACCTTACATAGGAGATGGTACTATTTGGCCCAGAAATACAGTCTCCCAATCACCAAAACCAGGAGCTCAAGGGGTGTCCCCCTTGTGGGCTGTGTGTGCCCTCCTGTTGTGGCAGGGCCTGGGACTGTGGTTGGTGGTCTACGCTGACACTTGGTTGGGCTGCAGGCTATGTCCACATCTTCTGCAGGGTGTCTCTGGGCAGGGTGCTCTGCAGGGTGTTCCCACTGTTAATAGAATGTTACAGGAATTCCAAAATAATGCCCACCAGCATCCACATTAGTAAGGTAGACTTGAATCACAAAAATTGCTCCCACTGGTGTCAGTTTCCACAGAGAGTCCCTGCTGTTTCCTGCCTCTTTGGGCAGATGCTCTTAAGGTTAGCAAATGATTCTCCTTTATCTGTGGTGTACTATTCAAGTTGGTGTTTTGCACTGGTATCTGGGTTGAGCGAGTCTGTGTGTGGGCCCTTTAAGAGCAGGTTTTCTGTTCCCTGCAGCTTTATAGTCTTCCTCAAGGTGATCCCTATTGATTTTTCAGAGCCTAGTGTTTTGGGGGCTTGTCTCTTCTGTGCAGGATCTAAAGATTTGGGTGCCAGGTATAGAACTCAGGTACCTTTGATCCTCTGGGAAAAGTCCACACTTTTGATGTCCCTCCCAATTGTGAACCACCATGGCTGGGGTTTGTTTTATTCCCTAGCAAGTCTGTGTTTCTGCTGCTATCCTTTTATTCTTGGTTGTGAAGGCTCTGTTCATTGAACTTTCAGGTACCTTTCAGAAAGAATTATTCCACAGCTAGTTGTAGTTTGTTGTGTCTAGAGGAGGTGAGTTCAGGATCTTGTTACACTGCCATCTTGAACCCAGCTCCTTAGATTACATCTTTACTGCAACCACCACCAGGGTTAAAGCAATGCCATATACAGGATGAATTAGAAGACAATTTAGAATAACCTAATTGGCCACTTGGATGGCCACTGAGATGGAAAGGAGATAGCAGTCTCACCCAAGGCACTGGAAATAAGAACAGGGAAGACCGATGCCAGAAGTATTGGCAGGACTTGGAAACCAGTAGGACTTGTAGGTAAGGGGAAGGAAAGAACAGCTGAACTTGGGAGACTGGAAGGTTGATGATAAGAGGCATAGCAGGTATGAGGGAAGGAAAGGGGGAGTTTCTTGAAGAGGCATGCCATGTTTGAGCTGCTGCTGGTACACCTAGATAGAGATGTCCAAAGGCAGTTTGCAATGTGGGCCTGAAGCATGAAGAGATCTAGGGTCACAGATTGGACTGGGAACATGCCTGTAATGAGGTCACCAAATGAGATAAGATGAAGTCTCACGGTGGAGCTTTGTAGGTTGAATGAATGTCTGCATTGAAGGGCCTGCCGAGCAAGAAGAGCCAACAAAGGCTCTTCTGACCCTGTGTTCTATAGTCTGTGACAGTTTTGTTCTATAGAATATGGGACACGGGAGATGGACACCTACTGCTCTTACAAGTTTATGTGTTATAAAAGAGACATCTGGTAGATTACTGGGTAAGGTTTATTCCTTAGGAAATCTTCCACAGATACACAAACTAAAAAGGAACAAACAAACAAAAATAAATAAGAATGTACATTTTGTTAAATAACCAAGTTTAAAAATGGAATGTGTGTTACGGGAACTATATATTATTATTGATCTTTACTAATTCTTTTTTCCCCCTTTTTTCTCTAGGTTTTACATTGTGCAGTAGGTAAGTATGGAATTTCCCCCTACTATGTACAGTGGGTTCTGCTTTTTTTAAAAATCATAAATAATAGGTCAACTTGATTATGACTGAATATTGAAAAAATGAAGCTGTTTAATCGTTGTATATAAAATTACTTACATTGGCATGGCTTTTGGTTTCTTAAATGACGGGTACTACTTAGATGTTATCACTGAACAATTTATTAAATGTCACAGCTGTTTCACTCTGTCATTTAAAAAGGCCCCTCTCACCTTGTTATAAGGGTGACAGAAGCACTAGTATATTCATTAAAATGTGACTTGGGGTCCTGATTCTGGTCTTTGTATAAAGCTCTCTCTGTGATCACTTGAATATTACATGCTCTTTCCTTGTGTTTAAAATGGAGTACTACATATATTGCCTATCTCCCAGATGAATACTGAATGAAGGTAAGAGGGATTGAAAAAAATCTAAGTATAAAGAGTTATGTAAATGTAAGGGATTTCTACTAAAAGCAGATACAGTGTGTTTTCTTTTTGGGGGAAGGGGCAGGTCATCAAATTCTGCTTCAGAACTGAGGGATAGCTTCTCTGTGCTGGGCTAGACCCTTCTAATCAAATCAAAATCAGTTCTGGAAAGTTGACAGATTCTGTAGAGTAAGCCCAGCTGGTTGCTGTGAGTTTGAACTTGTCTCTGAAAGGGAGGATGTACAGTTGACCTCAGGACGCACCAAAGGTCTGAAAACTCCAGAATCATGCATCCAAACCATTTTGGTCCTGTCAACTTAATTCACAAATTAAGTGGGTACTTCCTGTATTCAGAGCACTGCGCTTGGCACTGTGGAGTTCAGAGATGAGGAGACTTAGTTCAGAAGGTCACACAGGTGGACACACAGCAAGCTATCCCCTGTAGGTCTTACAGGGTCACTCTGAAACCTGTCTCCATTAATTTTAAGGATGACAAAGCATCTTTGTTGTAAACAGCTGCACCTCAGCTAATTTCCTGCTAGGAAGAAGGTCTACAGTCGGGTTTCTCATGATTTGCAGAATTTTGTATGCTTGTGTCTATATTTATTTTAGGGGCGGCTGGGTAGAATTCAAAGCTTTCATTAGATTCCCACAGGATTATATGATCCCCAAAAGCTTAAAAAACACTGCTTTAGAACCTTTAAGCAAAAGATTTGAAAGGGGCTTGGGGTCTCATCTGCCACATGGTCTGCTTTCTCAGAGGTTATGGGACCTGGGCTGTGTCACATAGCCAGTTAAAGGGGTTTTAGCTGATGTACCATTTCACACGTTTCCTTTTTAATCCTTTATCTACAATTTTGAGATGAACAGTTTTGTCCTTCGATGGTTAAATGAATTTTAAGCATAAGCTTGCAGATTAGGGGATACATTTGGCCAGAGAGAATTCTGGAACCACTTCAGGCCTTTTCCACGTGATTGAACCCTGTGCCCCATTCTCCTCATTCTCTCCATTCTCTTAACCTTCAGCTGCCTTTAGATGCATGTTTTCTGAGCATGTGTGCTACATTTTAATTAATATTTCATTGTATTTTAATGCTCCAGTTCCCTTTATCTTAGAATATATTTTCAGGGCGCCTGGGTGGCTCAGTTGGTTCAGTGACTGCTTTCGGCTCAGGTCATGATCCCAGAGTCCTGGGATCAAGTCCCACATCGGGCTCCCTGCTCGGCGAGGAGCCTGCTTCTCCCTCTGACCCTCTCCCCTCTCATGCTGTTTCTCTCTCTCTCTCTCTCTCTCAAATAAATAAAATCTTTAAATATATATATATATATTTTCATACCTCTTTGTAAAATTTCTGCCTCTAGAAATAGTTTCTGAACATGTGTGGTACATTTTAATATTTCATTGTATTTTAATACCCCGATTCCCTTTATCTTAGAATGTATTTTCATACCTCTTTGTAAAATTTCTGAGTGTATGTATTCATACCAGGAACATCACTGAATGCCTGGCAGGTGGGTGCCATACCTGGGTTTGGACAGTGAGAGTAGAAAGGTGAGCAGGCACAAGCTTGGGTTCAGGAAACCCCCCGTCAGGTGGGCACCCTTCTGAGCTCCTCTGGAGGAGTGCGCTCCAGACTGGTGTTCACGTCACACTCTGCTCCGATAGTTTGTAGACAAGTGTCCCCAGGGCCTAGCATGGTACCTGACACATGGTAGATACTTAAAAATTCCTTTTTAATTCCTCAAGAACCTTGCTCTGTCAGTGAATTTGTCTCCTGCATCCTCACTTTCTGTCATCCACCTTTTCCTTCTCACAAAATGCTCGGGGTACACCATCCGAAAAATAATTTTTAACCTAACCTCTGACCCTACATTCCTCCCTTACCACTACTTAATTCCCTTCTGTCTCTTTTACCAGATTTACGGTGGACTCTTTCCCCTTCCACACTCCCATTAATACCTTAGGCCAGCAGTTGGATCTCCTTGTCCTAGTAAAATTACCCTTTGGTTTAAAATCAGCAACAGTTTCTGCTAAATTCTGAGGACATGTGTGGAACTTACTGGACTTCTTGACTACATGGGGCACCACTGATGACTCCCTCCACGAGGTCCTTCCTGCTCCTTTAGTTTCCATTATACTGAGCTGTTCTGGCTCGCTCTTGTCCTTTGTGGTTCTTCTTTCTTTGGGGGTTTTCTTTCTCTCCTTGACTCTTCATTGTGGGCATTCCAAAGGTCTGGCCTAACTCTTTGCTCTTCTGACTGAATATGCCCTCTCTAAGTGATCTCTTCCCTTCTCGTGCTGTGAGATACTTGTGACACCCACTTTTTTAACTCCAGGCCACCCCTGCACCCTAGACTCCAGATCATCCCTTTACCTGCTGGCTATCTGCTTCTGAATACACACCTCCTCCTCAGTATGAGTCAGATTCCCAGACTTGTTCTGCCTCCCATATTCTCATAGTCAGGGGCACCACCAGGCACCAGCCCATTAGTCACCTAACCTAGACCTAGAGCTCACTCATGGCTCCTCCTCCTCCCTAGCCCCCACTCCCACAGCCAGGTGGTATTCAGATTTTATCATTTCTGTTTCCTGCATATGTTTCAGATTGTCCTGTTTTTTCATCACTATTCAGGGCCTTAGTATGCCTCATCTAGACTCCCATATGGGTCTCCCTGAACTTCTAGGCTTATAATATTAACAGTAATAATAAGAGCTGTCATTTATTGAGCATTTACTATGTTCCAGTGCTTTACATTCATTACCTCATTTACTTCCCATTTCACAGGTGACAAGACTGAAGCTTAGGTTTTATTTTTTTCAAGGATTTTATTTATTTATTTATTTATTTATTTTAGAGAGAGAACGCGAGCACAAGTCGGGGGAGGGATGGAGGGAGAGGGAGAAGCAGACTCCTCGATGAGCTCAATCCCAGGACCCCGAAATCATGACCTGGGCTGAAGTCAGACGCTGAACTGAATGAGCCACCCAGGCGGCCCCTTGGAAGGTTTTATATCTTGCCAAAGTTCACAGTTAATAAGCCCTAGAGCCAGGAATTGAACCTTTGGCTGTGTGACTCTAAGCCCATGCTTCACATAGCCCTTGAGGGATTTAGTGAAAGAAAAATTCTGAGCTGCTTGTTTTCTTGCTTAAAACCTTTCACTGGTTCCACCTTCTTCATGATTTGGACCCTGCTCGCCTCCCCAGCCTTACCTGTGCCCTGCCTCTCCTTCCATGCTTCAGCCACCCTGACCTTTTTATGAGTCTCCCCTGTTAATGTACTACTGCCCTACTTCCTGCCTCTAGTCTGTGCCAGGCTCTGCTCTCTGGAATGAGCAGCCCGCTCCCTTCGGCTGGCAACTCTTCACCTCTTCCTCCAGTAAACTTTCCTACCACGCACTGGCTAGATTAGGCACCCTTCTTCACCTTTCTGTAATATCCTGCACTTCGCTGTTATACTTTCTGCCATGTATTATGGTCTGTCACTGTACCTGTGTCCCCCACCAACACCACTGAGTTTTTTGAGAAATGAGAACTATTTCTAATTGATTCTGTATCCCAGCATCTAACAATACAGGGCACCTAGTGGGAGCTCATAATCTTACCAAATTCTGGTGACATTTTCCAAAACTTGTTTCAAAATGTTTTCAGTTCTTTTAAAAAATAAGAATAAATAAGCTGTTTCTAGCATTAGTTTAAAGACAGTGCCTTATTTTTAATTCATACAACTCAAGTTTATTTTTGGAATGCTGGTTTCTTTTCTTGTGACTTTGTGAAACTTGTCAGAATTTGGTCTTTTAAAACGTGTTATGGAGCCTTGAGCTTACAGACTGTTTAGTTTACATACTGTTGATGAAAAGTCCGGACCTCTGTCAGACCTGGCTTATTCATCAGCTGTGTGACTTCTAGGAAGTGACTCAATTTCTGTGCACCTTGTTTCTTCATCAACTAAAGGGGGATGATGCCCACATCGTAGGGTTGTTGTGCAAATAAAAGGCAACATGCATGAGAAATACTTAGCATAGTGCCTAAAACATGGTAATGCTGAAAACTGCCCCCCAAAATAGGAGCTGTGATTATTAACTAAAGCGACATAATGTCACAGAATGTTAAAAGTTTGTCCCTGATGTAATGTTTAATATTTATGTAAGTATAACTTTTCCGTATTCTTAGTTTTCTTAAATTATAATTTCTGTGTAAATGAGTGCTTCAGCACCACTTATTCTTAGTTTGGGTTGGAGCTGCTTCTAGTTCATAGCTGTGACAATGCAACTGGGCAAAAATAGCTTCCAGAAACACTACATTAAAATTCTGTATGAGGGGCTCATTTCTGGGAGAAGTCAAGCCTTCTGTCCGTGCAAAAGGGTTCCCATGCCCCAATCATTTCGAAGTCGGTGGTTTGTTCTCCGTTGATAATGTAGGGATGAGAGTTCTTTTTTGGAGTTGGGGGAGTAATTGTGAACACGTATTGGGGATGTATTTTTTTTTTTAAGTAAGATATCATTGACGTCTAACACTGTTTCAGGTGTACAACATAATGATTTGATATATGTATACAT